TAAAAGTTTAATGGAGAGAATGTTGTAAGAATTTTTTTTAAAAAATATATACATGCATGAAACAGAAGATGCACCACCATATGCGTTGGTTAAGCCTCAAACAATCTAAACTACAGAGGTAAGGATAAAAATAATGATTTAATTTTAGATCACACACTTGAAAATAGCGAGAAGATTAAGTGTGATGGTGTGTGAACCTTACAAGTGATGAAATGATAAATTTGACCACTAAAGTTCAGGAATAAAACTACTTGTGGATTCATGATATTCTATTTAATTCTTCACATACACGTCAGTTTTACACTGGAAAGGTTGATTTTGATTTTGGTGATGTAATCTTGAAGTTATTTATAGATTTAATATTATGACTCCAATCCAGAGGTAAAAATCTAGTTTATGGAGCCAAACCTTTTGCATGTTTTTGTGTTTATTTCAAGTTAGGTTGCAATTTTGTTTGAGGACAAACAAATGTTCAAGGTTAGGGGTTTGATAAAGTTTATTTTATCACTTATTCGAGGCCTTGATTAATGACATTTTATATTTCTTTGGTTGAAATACTACCTGATATTTTTATATAGTGTTTAATAGGTGAAAGTCATGATTTGATGAAAAATTGGAGAAGATAAGTTGAAATAAAGAAGAATGACGATATCAAAATTGTGGGGACTAAAGTACAAATACTCAAAAGTTGTGACAGACCTCACAACGAAGATTTGAGAGTGTTATGGGTCAATTGGATGAGAAAAAAAGTTAAAGGAATGAAATATAGTCAAAATACGATCAAACATCAATTTCTAGCATAAGAGTTATGCTGCAGATTTTTAGCTTCAAATTGAGACCTATTTTTGGTATAACAAACGTTCAAATTGAGAAAATGATACTTTTAGTAACAATTCAATGCAATCTTTTTTCCATCCTTTAAATATCAACTCAACCAAAACATGGGGATTTCCATTTGACCTAAATTTCTTCATATTTTACCTATTTTGGAGGCAAACAACAAGTCTATACATCAATTCAAGGCGAATCATACAAGAATCGTGAAGATTCATAGCCCGATTTCAAGATTTGAATCAACAACGCCAATTTCTCCTACTTTTTCCATCTTTCTCATTTTCAGGTAATATTTTTTCAATTATTCTTCGGTAATTTAATCATAAGAATGTTAGGCTAAATTTTTCATTGTATTATATGAATGATAAACCTCATTAGTAGTTGTTTTTAAGTCAAGATTCGTTAATTAAGTAATTTCTTGAGTCTCTTGATTATTTATGCATTCCATATGTCCTATTTTTGGGTAATTTTTTTCAATTATTCTTGGATAATTTAATTATAAGAATGTTAAGCTAAGATTTTCATTATATTAGACGAATGATGACCTCATTAGTAGTTGTTTTTAATTCAAGATTCGTTAACTAAGTAATTTCTCGAGTCTGTTGGTTATTTATGCATCTACATTGTGTTGTTTAAATGCTTGTTTACCATCTAGGTAACTTGTTGCCTATTCATAGTGTTGGAAGGCTCACAATAGATAGAACACCGTATATTTAATACACAGATAATAGATGTTAGAAATAATATGTTTGGAGTATGCAATCGCTTGAAATAATCTTATTATTAAATACATGTTTTTCATGTGAATTCTGATTAGGAATAAGACCAGGTCGTGTTAAGCATAGGTATAATATTTTATGATATTAAACAAAATGGAATTGTTGATTGTCATTAACATTAACATTAGAAAATTAATACTACTTTTTGCGTCGAGAATTGAAATATCACTAATACAGGGATTTAGAAATCCAATACATTCATCACAGTTTAGCTAAAAACCACTCTTAAATGCTTTCTTAGTTAAAATTAGATTAAAAAATTACAATAAATCTCTTTTGATTTTACTCTTTATCATACTTGATAATAACTAGTAGAGCGAAACTAAACATTATTTATCGTAGGACAAAAACTCTAAACTCACTTTATCTATTAGTGTTAATGATCCCATACGCTTGTGAAATTATACCGAACGTAAATTCAATCAACAAATCCTCTCACCTAAATTTGAGCTTCACCTCCTAAATTTGCTACTCTAAATGTGTAAACTGGAGCAAGAGAGAGAAATAACTATTTGATAGGAGATATTTAAATTACATGTCTTCCTTCAAATGGAATGGGGTATTTATAGATTTTCCTCCAAGCATTGGGATAATTTGGTCATTGTCAAGAAATGGCAGGTGGCACTCCCTTATTAGCTACCTTATAACTGATTCAATAAAAGTTCACACTTTATTTATCTTGCCCACGTGCCTTACATTGACAGCCTGTAGCCAGACTAGATATGTGGATCGATTCGCAACTAGATGTGTGAACATTTTACTTCTTTATTCCGTTTGCATTATTTTATGCTCCGTTAATGAATTGGATTGCGTTAAAAGGTAAACAAATGGTTAGTATGAAAGGATTGTAGGCATCGACTGGTGGTGGCTGCTAATGGAGATGCAAGTTGTTTTAGCTTATTGGAGTTAGGAGATGTCTTGGAAGGTCTTGACAGCATAGTGTCAAGGTTTAGGGTTGGATTGTGATGAAGGCAATTTTCAATAGTTTTTTAGGGTTAAAGAGAAGGCGGCAAATAGCAATTGCTTGTGTGTACATTTCTGTTGGTGCAGCTGGCAGATGAATAGGGCTAGCAAGGTGGCACAATTGATGTGGTGGTGGTTAGCGGCTATTATGTGATGGTGAATTTGATGGTGTTTTCCTTCAATTAGCAGTGGTTTGTGGTGGTGGAAAGTTGAGATTTCACTGGTAGCGTGTGGAGTAATCAACGGAGCAGCAGTCGGAGTTGCTAAGGTTCCGATTTGGAAAAGATGACGGGTTTACTATTTAAGGTTAGGGGTTGGCGTAAATTCGGTAATGTTTATTCTGTAGATGTATAAGGACAGTGGGCTTAGATAAATGGGCTAAAGCAGATAAAAAATAGGCTATTGTGGGGGGTTTTGATTATTGGGATATTATGGGCTTGGCTTTTAGTATTGGGCTAGTATATAAGTGGGCTATTATAGGGAGTGGATTTGGTTATTTTGGATTAATTGGCTATTTTCAAGGGATTGTAAGCTAAATGTTGTGCTTAGGTTATAGGTTGTATCTGTTGAGCTCTTGATTTAAAATTCTAAAAAATCCTAAGTATTTTTTTATTTTTGTTATTATTATTTTTTTTGTAGGCTATTTGGTGGGATTTCTTCTAATTGCATAAGGAAAATATATTGCTGGATTTCTTAATTGATGCATTAGTCGTTAGAACTTTTGTTGGAACACAAATTATGTGTTCAATTGAGTTATTCTGACTGATAGAGCTTATTATGTATGGTCGGTATTTCTATAGCATGAACAATTCAACTAGGATAGCTTGTTCGTGTCTAACACATATTGATATTGACGTTCCTCAAATACTCTAACCTAAACATTTTTCTTTTTAATTGAAAATATTATATATTTTTACCTCAAAGTGATTTGTAAATAACAAATAGGTACTCGTATTTAAAAGATTTCAAGAAGAAAAATTAATAACAAGTATAAAATTAAATTTTTACTATATAAAATAAAAAAATTTAAAGAATTTAATCAACGGTCGAGTCAGTACTTTTTTGGAAAAATCGTATGTTGACGTATCTGATACACGTGTCCATGTCGGTGCATCATAGGTCAGCATACTATACGAATTTCTTTTGAAAATTCTTCTTGGGGGTGTGAGCTCATTAGAGTGGCTTTAGAGTGCTTTTAAAGTGGTTTTAGAGTAGTTCTTGGATGTTTCTAAGTATTTGTTTTTTTGTTGTTCTTGGGTCTTTTGTCGTCACTATTTTCATAAATGATCACTGTGGTTTGGGTCCATTCTTCGTGGGATGAGTATTGTCACCATCGCCAGTTCATATTGCAAATTGATGCTTTTACAGGTATCAATTTAGAGAGATGTTAGTGGAATATAAAAAAAGCTCGAATACAAGGAAAGTTATTATATTTAATAGGTTATCATTAATATTGTAATTGATAGCTAGCATATTTAGTTGTGATTTTGATTTGATCTAATAAGAAAATCTCTCACATTGAGAGGTATCGAGTTTATTGAGTATATTTGATAGCCTATTACGAAAAAGATTGTGATTAACTTCATAGAAATGACTTTGAAGAGGGCTAATGAGCAAAGTACAATCCCATATGATAGTGACTCAAAATTTCGATAGATAATCACCCATACACAATAGTAACAAAGCATGGGACATATATATAAAAGGAAGTCTGGAAGCAACTACATGCCATAGAAATTATGTCAGGGAACAAAACACGAATACATGACAAGATGTCAAAATTTAGCATTTAATATTTTTTTTCTTGTAATATTGTTTGGAGTCGAAGTGAAAAGAAACCTTTCAAACATTGTTTCAACCCAAATCAACCTGCATGATGTATTTTGGACATTGCTTTTCATCCTTTAGTAACATCATTTCGATAATTTCATCCTAAGCTAGTGTCTTCCCTCTTCTAATGGTTCCAACTAAGGATAGATTGATGATCTTTTTCTATTAATAAGAATGGCATAGAAAATTTATGTCAGCATTTGTCATGAAAATATCAATAATTACAAAATAGAGCTTCAAGATATTGAAAGCATTGCTAATATCTGGAGTGTAAATGTAGAAGCAATTTTACTTTCTTGATATATATAAGCTCTTCTGGGCTTGAAATAAGCAAAATACACCCTCTACCCTAGCATAAAGTAAGAATGCATGAAGATATTTGACTTCAAAAGTGTTCATAAAACAAACGACTAATGGTGATTGTTAAAGACAAAGAAGCCTGCAAATAGATCATGTATGGACTTGGATTCACAACTTTTAAAGATTTGCCCTCTTCAATAGGAAAGCCATCACTATCAAGCTTGGCTTCCTAGTTTCAAAACCAAGAGAAGAAAGTCAAAATATTCTAAATAATCATTGAAACTTACCTTTTTTGATGCCTAATTTCCCCTTTCCGCCATCGCATGCTCCATATAACCCATATTCGAGACATCAACCATGTCTTTGCACAGTTCTTTTAGCACAAAAATCACATCTCCAACCTACAAACATCAACAGTAGACTCAATAGATGGGAAAAAGGGAAAACTCAATAGTTGTTTAGTGCAAGTAAAAAAAATAAAATCATCATGGAAAGTTTGGTTTGAAGTTGTCTCTCCGAACCCTATTCCATCACCACTTGCATCTCGACGGGTCGAACACAATCATCGACGATAACCACTCAATCCTCTCTAAAATAAAAACAGGAGAACCTAAATCAAACAGTAACCCACCGACAACTACTTTGAACTGTTGTCAATGTTGTCACCTATTGGAAGTTCAAATAACATTCCACACCTATACCCCATAACAATAGCTTGCTAGGTAAATTCATCTAAGATATTGAAGTCATCATCTTTCTATGTCGTAACACTGAAAGCTTCAGTTTTGGTTCATCATTTCCACACATCTTTGTCAATAGCAATCCACATAATTCTAGGTTGACAATATATGAACTGTTATAAAATGTAAGAAGCTGCCCTTACTAAGGTGAGGGACCAACAAAATGATTGTATGAAATGTTAAGGAATAACAAAAAGTCAACTTTGTCTATTGCCAAAGAATCTCTCCTACCAATTAATTTGAGTAGAGGTCCAATGATTCAAGTGAAGTCAAATTTTCAATTGATGCGATATGACCTATGAAACTATTATAAGCTAAGTTCAGAGTGTGAAGGCCCGTGATCTTTCCTAGAGAAATTGGACTATCTTCTTGAAATATGTTGTTTGATAGATCGATGTTTGTATAGGCTCTTCGGATACTCCACAACTCATACTCTTACACCTTCATCAAAACGGACGAAAGAATATGAAGACCAGTTTCATTATCACTCACATTCATTATGGTTTTGAAATTATCTAAAAATTCAACTCAGATAACACCAACGAACTCATTATGGGACATGTCAAGAATTCGTAGTTTAGAAAATTGATGGCCAATCAAACAAAAGCAATCAACTCGGAGAACATCGATCAACTTGTTGACAATGTTTCCATGCTTATTTGTTCTGTGTTTCATTACTGGCACTATGTGATATAAATAGTAGACTACGATTGCCAATCAAACGAAACCAATTGCTCGACTACCACTATAATTGCCCGATTAACACTGATCGATCGACTATCTAAATAGTCGACTGACTACCACAATGGTCGATCGATTATCTCGATGACTCACTGACACTCATCGGTCGATAGGTTTCTTCGGCGGTCGGCTAACTATCGTGATGATCTACTCACACTACGTTAGTTGACTGACTACCGTAATGACCTACCGATACCATGTCGGTTGACTAACTACCAAGATGGTGGATTGACTACCGCGATGAGCTACCGATACCATGGCGATCGACCAACTATTGCGATGGTCGATCGACTACCATGATGACCTACGTAGACCATGTCGATCGACTAACTATCACAATGATCGATTGACTATCGAATGACCTACCGACACCACGTCAGTCAATTGACTACAATGATGGTTGGTTGACTATCGGATGTTTGACTGACTACCACGATGATAAACTGACTACCGTGTTGACCTATTGACTTCAATCAATCACCTAACTACCAGATGGTTGAATGGCTACCATAATGACCTACCGACTACCAATTCAATTGATCGACTACCACAATAGTTTATTGACTACCACTACGATCAACCGACCACTAGATGGTCGATCACTAGGAAGCTCGATCTACCACTCTATTCCTCAATTGTTCGAAAATTCTTCTCATAGATGAGAAACTGCATAATGACTACCTCAAATTTCGTTAACCGCCTGATGAGTAGAAGTAATCGTTATATATGTGGATGAGAAATAACCGCTATATATACAAGTACTGCTATATACGTGGATGAGAGGTAACCACTATACATATAAATGGAAGGTAATCGCCATACAAATGGGCGAAAAAATCGCTTAGCTGTTGCATGATCGAAAAGTCACCTATAAATACCAAAAGATATACCGAGTATGAGTAGGGATGTCAACAAGTTGAGTTGAGTCGACTCGCGAGCCGAAACTCGAGGCTAGGGCTCAGCTTGAGTAAAATAATATGAGCTTTTTTCGAGCCTAAGCCAAGATGAAATTTTGCTTGCCCAAAAAATCTAGGCTCGAGCCTTACCGAGCCGAGCCAAGTTAAGTTAAAATTCACTTAGCAGTTGCATGGTTGAAAAGTCACCAATAAATACCCGAAGGTATACTGGGTATGAGTAGGGATGTCAACGAGTCGAGTAGACTCGAGAACCGAAACTCGAGGCTCAACTAGAGTAAAATGGTGCGAGCTTCTTTTGGCCCTGGCTGAGCCAAGCTTTTGCTCGCCCAAAAATCTAGGCTCGACCTGAGCTTTCGGCTCGGGCCTTACCGAGCCGAGTTGACTCAATTTTATTTAAACTTCACAACATTTCTAACTTTTTTTAAAAAAAATTAAATTTTGTACAATTTATTTGAATTATAAATTAAATAAAATTACAACACTCCTCCTTTTTTGGGGTTTGGGACGGACTATAATCAATTTAGGTGGAGTTAAAATTATACATGAATAAAATATTTCGCGTACAATTTTTCTTGAAACAAATAATCCATCTATATTAAATGGTTATTATAACCAAAAAAAAAAAATAACTGAATATTAGAGTCAAAGAAACTTAATATTAGAATAAAGAAATTGTAGATTGATGTTGAAACTAAAATACTGTAAATTAAAACTTAAACTGATTAAAAAACTGATATGAAACTCAAAAATTTAACATATATAAATAGCAAAAAAATATAATCGTTTTAACTAAGTTTGAAATTCAAATATTCAAATTTAATGATTGACATAAAGCCTATTAAAGCAGTCGCAATAGCTGCCTTAACAGACATAGGTCATGCCGGCTGGAGCTTTTCCATGGCCGAGCCACTGGCTGCTTGAGCTGGCAAGTCAAATTTACATCTCTAGGCATAAGGGACCTTTTTGAGAATTTCTCTCTAGTATTATCTATTTGTATATTACAAAATTTATGTCAATTCAGCTTGCCGGCTCGAGCAGCCAAGACACATGTTGGCTTGTGTTATGGGCCATTTTTGACCCACAATGAGCCAACCCTTAAAAAGAGGAAAAAAATAAGCTATTTAGCTACCTGCAAAAGGCAAAAACTCTTGTTACAGACAACATGTTACTGTCTGCAAATAGGCAACATGTTACCGCCTTTTACAAGTAGCTCCCTGTGTTTTATTAAAAAAATACTTGGCTTGACTTGATAAGGCCCGATTCGAAAGCTTGGATCAAGCCTGGATTTTTGGCTGAGCAAAAGCTCATCTTGACTTGGGTCAACAAAATTTGAAACATTTTTATTCGAGTTGAGCTAGCCTCAAGGTTAGGCTCGGCTCATTGACATCCCTACTTAGAATCACTAATTCTTAGGAGTGGGCATAGGTTGGGTTGAGTCGGTCTTTTAGCCAACTCAAACCCAACATAACATGGTCGATTTGAGCTAAAATCAACCCAACCCAATTAAGTTTCAATCGAGTTGGGTTGGTCAGTTTAGATTTTAGACCAAAAAGATCTATTGGACAATAAAAACCATAAAGAAAATTGCTTCAAAATAATCATCCAAATACCCATTCAAAACTGTAAATATCCAAGTCACAAGTACCACACAAAACCAATTGAACGAGAAAAAAAAACACAATCCATTTCAAGTAATTTTCCTTTGACAGAGTAATCAAATCAACTTCGAGATACAAATATATGAGCAATTCTTTGAAAGAATATTCACTTCAAAGTGATGCAATTGATACTAGTTGCAAAAAATGCAAAAACTAGAAGGGAGAGCTTGTATAACAAATGAAATAAATGTCAAATTGAACTAGCTGGAAAAATGTAGCAGCAAAAGAGACAGATAATTCCTTAAAGATTACTCCATTTCACCCTAAAATAATAAGATAAAACATTCTCAAGCAAACAATTGTATCTTCAAATTATTCAAACATTATAAGACAATAAAATCTGGGAGTAATCTAAGGAAAATTAAACTATCCAACATTCAAGATTCTGTGAATTACTTGAATATAATGAAATTAAAATAGCAAAAACCATCTATAAGGAATTTAATGCAATCTAACAACGAAATCTTGAAAAATGGAGCAAATAAAGAAAACTTTGTGGGAATTAAAAAAGAAACTTATTGGCTATAACTATTAACAACAACTTCAAACGGGATTTAGTCGGACATTGGAGGACAATTAGTACTGACTATCAATGGACAATTGATGACCAACGTCGGCAACTGAAAGATGAAGGTCAGCATTGACGATTTTGGGGAAGAGCAAAAGAGAATGAGAGATTGGGTTTAAGTTTAGCGCTCCTGTTGTGTGATTTTCGTTCCTTTTTTTCTAATTTTAATTTTTTTTCTTTTTGACTAACCGAGTCAATTGGGCAGGTTGTATCGATTTTGATGGGTTAATTCCCAATGGGGCTCTTTTCACCATTCCATCACAGTATTACTTCACTATCGAGGTTGTATCTAGTATTCAGTGTTTGCCTCGATTTGATACCGCTCTTGCGGCCCTTGTGTGTCTATAAAAAAATATTCTTTGGGAGGGGTGAGACAAAAGATGCAAGTGTTATCTAGAATGATTGGGTATAAAGCATCTGTAGGTAGCTTTTCCATCACCAACTCAATTCAACCCACCCGCCTAAACAACCTATAACCTGAGTCATCACCTAAAAAAATGAAAAAAATCGACCCAAATCGGTTCAGTTCGATTTGGTTGGTTTTGGCGGGATCTGTCAAGTTTTGCCCACCTCTACTAATTCTCACACAAGATGGAGCCTTGCTCCATAAGGAAGTTGAAAGGTTGTTTCTTTGTTATTTCAATTACCTTTCTCATTTCTAAATCAAAAACATGAAAGAGGTACATCTTGATCAATAATAAGAACGAAAAAAATATAATAAAATAATAATTTCAAAATGGTACAGAAGGTAAAGTGAGACATGTATATTTACCTTTTGCTTACAAGAAGATTATGTTATCAAAAGCAAACTTCATGGAAGGTTTCTAAAATTTTGAAAATCAAGGCAAGGTGTTTGTAATTAGGTAATTACCAAAAAGCATCCATATCATCCATATCTTTCAAAAAAAATTATAACCTGTCGCCTATTTCGGGCTCATGTTGGACGCTTTTCTTCCATTTGTAGATAGAAAGCTCTATGAAAATTGCAAAATGCACATAGCCAAAAGACATAATTTATTTTATTAAGGCTAGCATGGGCAACGTCCCTAGGCAGCCTATCCAATAATTTGAAAAGCTTGAACCTGCTTATAGCTATTTATTGTTTGAGATTGAAAGAGTTATTTATCTCACCTTGAGAAAGATATCTACGGCTCGATATAGTCCATCATAGACCATACGAGCATGGTCTGGAAGTAATTCTACTAGTGCTATGAACTTTGATGGAGTCAAGTTTGAATCCAATGCTACTTCCGCAAGATAATTGTCCAAGAGTTTCGACACCTTAATTATCGAGCTTTGCTCTGGGGATCCAAGGCTGTCAAAGTCATAAACCATCTCGCTTTCATCCCTTGGATGATTATCCTCTTCATCATCCTCATCAAGATTCAAGAAAATAGAGAAAATCCTCAGGACTGAATCTGTGTCATACAACGGGCAGTGATTGTTTCCGTCCAGATTTGTAGGAATAAGAATGTCTTCAATAATAGCTTGGTCCAGTTGCAGGCCAATCCGCCTCTCCAAATCAGATCTACAAGATGTTGATGCTGATGCTGCTATTGCAGATTTCAACAAACTTGAAAGAAATGCCATAGGAACTGTGCTTTTTCTTGATTGGGTTGGTAGTAAACCACCAGACATGTGTAAAATGATCGAAATAGATAATCAAGTGGGTTCGATCTCACTCGAAAGAAACTATGAGAACATTTGTGTTCTCATGATTATATAAGACCTTTGATTCCGACAGAAAGTATCTTCATTGGCTCTTTCTAAGCTATTCGAGCGGTATCAACCCACTTGATGACCTCTTTTGATCGTTCTACGTATGTTGAAGGCATGACGGGTGATCGTGAATGATCGAATAATTGTTTTTGGCTAAAACGATACCATTATCATTTTATATGAAAAGAAACGATATCTATATCGTTGTAATTGTAATTTGAATTGAAACGATTTCAAATTCGTCAAATTTGTACTAAAACGATATGAATATCATTACTTTACTTGTGATTTTGATACATAATGATATTATTATCGTTTCAGTACAAGTTCGATGACGTTGATATCGTTTTAGTTTAAATCGGAACTAAAATTACATATATATCATTTCAATTAAAGTAAAACGATAATTTTATCGTTTCTGCTAAAAACAACGATTCGATTGTCCACGATCACCAGACATGCATCTGAAATATGTAAGATGATCAAAATAGGCAATCAAGTGGGTTTGATCTCATTCGAAAGAAACTATGGGAACATTTGTGTTCCCATGATTGTATACCACCTTCAAACTATTTCGGCAGAAAGTATTTTCGTTCGCTCTTTCTAATCCATTCGAGTGGTATCAACCCACTTGATGACCTCTTTTGATCGCCCCACTGATGTTGAAGGCATGAGGGTGCCTGTGGACGGTCGAATTATTGTTTTTAGCCAGAACAATATCATTATTGTTTTATATGAAAAGAAACGATATCTATATCGTTGTAATTGCGATTTGTATTGAAACAATTTTTAACTCGTCAAATTTGTACTAAAATGATATGAATGTCATTACTTTACTTGTGATTTTGATGCATAATGATATCATTATCGTTTCAGTACAAGTTGACAACGCTAATATCGTTTTAGTTTAAATCATAACAAAAACTACATATATATCGTTTCAATTAAAGTAAAACGACAATTATATGATTTCTGCTAAAACAACGATTCGACTGTCCACAACCACCAGACATACATCGACATATATAAGATGATCAAAATAGGCAATCAAGTGGATTCGATCTCATTGGAAAGAAACTATGGGAACATTTGTGTTCCCATGATTGCATACAACCTTCGAACTATTCCAGTAGAAAGTATCTTCGTTCGCTCTTTCTAAGCCATTCGAGTAGCATCAATCCACTTGATGACCTCTTTTGATCGTCCCATTTATATTGAAGGCACGACGGGTGCCTGTGGACGGTCGAATCGTTGTTTTTTGCCAGAACAATACCATTATCATTTTATATGAAAAGAAACAATATCTATATCATTGTAATTGTGATTTGTATTGAAATGATTTCCAACTCATCAAATTTGTACTAAAACGATATGAATGTCTTTACTTTACTTGTGATTTTGATGCATATTAATATCATTATCGTTTTAGCACAAGTTTAACGAGTTGATATCGTTTTAGTTTAAATCATAACTAAAACTACATATTTATTGTTTTAGTTAAAATAAAACGATAATTATTTCGTTTCTGCTAAAAACAGTGATTCGACTGTCCATGACCACCAAACATGCATTTGCCATATGTAGGGGTGGGCGTGGGTTGGGTTGGGTCAGTTTTCGCCCCAACCCTAACCCAACCCAACATGATCGGTTTGGTCGAAATTTAACCCAACCCAACCCGTGTAAAGTTTGAAACCCAACCCAACCCAACCCAATCAAGTATCGGTCGGGTCGGGTTGGGTTGGTCGGCTTAGGACAACTTGTTAATAAAGATAAAATTATTCATTTTTGGGTGTAAAGCATCACTAATATAGTCCTAGAGCCTCAAAATTTACAAAACTAATTACCACAGCATAGATAAAATTCAACTGAGACACTAAAGAGCAGAAATCACAACCAATTTAGAAGTTGGTTTCTCACAAAATTCTCTAATAGTGGGACGGGATTGGAACTTATAAGGTAAAAAAATTTCATCAATACAACATGCTCCAAATCATTAAATAGTGTCAGCAAAGAAGAAATAGCAGAGATGTAGTCAAAGAAGAGATCACCTGAGAGATGAGTCTGTTCAGATTAGTATATGTTGGCCTCTCAATGTCAAGTGACTTGCGGCAAATATCATAGATCGCCTCATTGTCAAGAAGCACGGCAACATCAGTGTGCTCCAACAAAGAGTGGGTCAAGAGAACAGAGTTGTATGGCTCAACCACAGCAGTCGAAACTTGCGAGGATGGGTAAATAGTGAACCCCAACTTTGATTTCTTACCATTCAACAGAAAGCCTCTCAAGCAAAAAAGATTCAAGTCCAGATCCAATGCCCGCACAACCCTTACAATCCAGTACAATTATTCGCAAGCTTTCGGAGCTTGAGTGAGAGCGAAAGCGAGAGGGAGGGGGAGGGAGAGGGATTAGAGAGATTTTAGGGCTTCTTTTGGATTTGGGAGTGACCGAGTGATTAGCCATTTA